CCCCCCCCCCCTTTTTTTCTCAGCTTAATCGAACACAGGTCCAAGATAATTGGTTTTCCTCCCCACGAGACCAACACGACTTTCCCCTTTGTCCCGACAATTATCAACACGCATTCCAAGTCACGCCTCGTTAGTCGGTCCAAGAGACTCCGCGAGAATCATGTCGTCGTCTGCATGCCAGTGAGCAGAACAGAATTGCGCGGAAAACACAGGGAAACACAGAAAAAGAAAGTAGGCCACCAAAAGAGGTAATGAATGGTAATATCCAAAAAGCTATATATACTGACTATAGGAATATTAAAGAGTTGAACTGAGCCCCAGAGTATATTATAAGCCATCTTGGTTGATGGTCGATATTAATTCATGCTTCATAAAACAGTATATTAATACATGTTTTATGTGGTGGGTGGGCTACAGTTTCGATCTGTACGCTCAGAAACGTAGAGCTAATAGGCTTTAACCAGTATAGGTTTCGAATCTGCCTCTACTGTCTGTCAGTTCTAATCCGCGCTACGTAGAAATAATGTAATGTAATAGAAGAACGTCGGCGACATTGAACTAATTTGGTCGTATGTCTGACCTTGTTTGTTTTTGTAAGTGTTTTACGGCGCTCGCAAATGCATAAGGACATATGAGCACGCGGGACACATTAAACTTTTTCAGTTGGTAAGAAATTTAGAATTTTGCCCGGGTGGCGGCCGAAGCCTACTCTTATCGATTTTAGACCACCAAGGGATCTTTAACGTTCGCAACTTGCACACGGGCCCTCCGAGATTTTTCGCCCTTGTCCGAGAAAGCTAGGTAAAGATGTCTCCTACCAGAAGATCAGGGGTGTGGCTGAAAGACAGCAGTAAGAAGAAGCCAAGGAGTAGCAGTAGAAAGGGTGTAGAAAGAATCAGGAGCCCAGACGAGGGGGGCAAATGAGATGAGGGAGTGGGGGCAGAAAGGGGAGACGAAAGCAGACGACAGAACATTGCTAGAGAGCAGGAAAGGAGGTGAAAGGAGACAAATTTAGGGAAGAACATTTTTCGGTCGCTACCCGGATTCGAACCCGGGACCTTTGAATGAGAGGCCAACACCTTAACTTCTAGGCCACGAGAGCCCCCTATGTCTGACCTGTGCTTATACTAAACTCACGTCTTTCGATTTGTTTTCGTGAGAGTTTTACGGCATTTCCAACAACCCTAGTTCTACTGTCTGTCAACACTAATCCGCGCTACTTAGAAATATAATATTATAGAAGAAAGTCGGCGACAATAAGATAATTTGGTCGTATCTTACCTATGCTCTACCAAACTCACGACACTCGTTTTTGTTTTTGGGAGAGTTTTACGGCATTTGCAATATAATTAGGTGACAAAAAGTTTCGAAGATTCAAGGCATTACTAGAGAGTGGCGTACCAGGAAAACAAAAATTAGAAAATAGAACAATAGAATCAGATGTTTGATAGGAGAGAAGGATCAAACCACTTCAGAGCATTCACCAACCAACCACTCACACCTGCATTATCATGCTAGGACGATCGTAGACATGAATATAATAATCTGGAAATTAGGATTTTAAAAAATATGCAAGAATAAGGTCAAACTAAAGTGCCCTGAAGTCTTAACTTCTACAGAATTACAATGTCACAGAAGGGACTATCTGATATGTTTCTGAAAGAGAACTCTCGTTGGTAGGGGAGAAATAGCCCTCAAGTCCTTGGATTCATAATATTTATCTGTTTGGCATCGTGGTGAAATCAGGCGCTAGTCAAAATAATGAAATCTAACAACAGACATTTCGAGATCCCCACCCAATTGTCGATTTTGGAGGAAGTTTGTTTTGACGCAACACCTTACGTCCAAGAAAAACTCATTTCGGTGTGGATTTTTTCTGAAAAACGTTGATGAAGCGCACACAAAAACTGTAACTTTGCAGTTTCCACACGGATACCCAATCTTTGGAAATAAAAAAAAACGTTGGCGGCCGTTTTTTCACTATATTATTATTGCCTCTGCCACCAGGTCATCCCCACGCCCTTCAGTCGCAAATATCTCGACTTCTTTTCAAGATGGATGGGTTTGTTTTTTTTGTTTACCCCCCCCCCCCCCAACAAAACTAAGAAAAAAGAAAAACAGAAACCACGGACAAACGAAGAAGCTTTAAAGCTATATCTATAACTCCACATGCCCCAAAGACGAGCGCCTGCTTTCCCCACGTCGTGACACATATAACCCCTAAGCCCTTAGAGTCGTATTATACTATGCCTATGCTGTGGATGTCTGGGTGGACCGTTTAAAATGATGACGTATTTATTAAAAAATCAATAGCATTTTTTACCACCTTTTCTTCCCTTGAGGCGTTAGGAACATGGTGGGAGAACCAGTGACGTAGAACACAATAAAGGGCGGTAACTGCGCTGTCTTTTGTCTTTGGTACGTGCACACATCGCTGGTGCTTATCGAACATGGGGAAAACAACTGTGGCGCAAACACAGCCTAATGTACTGGGTGGGGCACGTCTCGCCCCATTGAGCAGCCTCAAAGCTGACCTGACAAAACTGATGGCGAGTGGATGGGACGATTGTTGAATGTGAAGTGGTGAGAATTTATGGTTTTCCGATACATAGCGGCCGTCAGGTTCTGGGAGTCCTGTCTTTTAACCCCTTCATTTCAATGATTAGAGTTCGTTTTCATCTACCTTTGTGATATGACGAAATGATACAGGTTTAACGCCCCAATCTACTCTATTAAGTTATTTAAGAGGCGGGACCTCCGAGTTTAACGTCCATCTCCGAAAGGACCGAGCCAAGTGACTTTCCCGAGGTCACAACGTCGGACCTAGCTGAGGTTCGAACCCCCGAACCCGCAATCTCACGATTATGAGTCCGGTAGCCACTATGCCACCGACACCACCATCTACATTTGTACAGACAAGATAAAAATTTCATTTAAGTTTAAGAGAGAATCAAGCAAAGCAATAATATGAACGTTGCTCTTATTCAATAAAATAACTGTGGAAAGAGCTGTACAGCTGGCCTACTATAGGAAACTGCATCTCCCCTCGACGTTTAACGGTAACAGAGGGTGAAAAAGTCAAAGTAAAGTAAGTAAAGAAATATCAAATGCACAGCCGTAATTTACATCTCCCTTAAACCAGCAGACAAAATGATAGAGAACCAGTTTTGGAGAACACAAACGTTGAATACTAATATTATAATTTTATAGATCTATGTCCACACAGCAGTGAAGAGGTTAATCCATTTCAATTCATTTGTTTTATTTCGAATAATCGGATCACGATATAATTTTCTCGTTTCTCTCTCGAAATTGACCTCATCCACATAAATAGAAAGACAAATACAATGGTGTCACAGCGCGGTGGAGTCAAGGGCTTCTCAATGGTTGGGCGTGTGGAGTTTTAGGTGTCATCTTTAAGCGTAATATTCATTTGTCTCACTTTTGATGAAAAAAAAAATCACTCTTGAGCAGAAGTCGAGATGTTTGCGAAGGAAGAAGGTGCGAGTCGCCTGGTGTCATGGGGTAAAAAGGCTAAGAAAATGGCCGCCAAAGTTTGGTGACTTCCACCACTCCGGTGTCCATGGAAACTACCAAGTTACATTCTTGTGTGCCTTTGATCAACGTTTTTTTTTTCTGCAAAACCCACACATAAATCTGTTTTTGAATGGATTTAAAGAATGTTGATGAAAATAAAAATGATAAAGATCGCTCAAAGGATGGGGGGAAAAAATGGTTTCTTTGATTTTGTTACATTGTATTTTGATGCGAGTCTAATTTCAGTACCATGACACACAATAATAATAAGAAAAAGAGACACTATTAAAGCTAGTTTTCAGTTTCCAAATTTTGCTGTGGGAAAAAAAAAAAACAACACCCCCCAAAAAACAAACAAAAACAAAACCTAAACAAAAACCGCACCATACGTTGACCCACGCTACTGTTGCACACTGTACGAGGTGCCTGCTGTTATCAATATCATGGAAATTGTTTTCCTTCTTTCCCTCACAGCAATACGGACTTCGGAATTATTTTCTTTATAGCGATATATTCTATGAGTGATTTTCCTTACAACAAAACAGACTTTGTTATTTTCCTTACAGCACAGCAATGCGCACTTTGTAATTTTCTATCAGCAGTACGGACGTTGCAATTTTCTCCCAAAGAAGTAACTGTTGTGTTCACTGTTATGTTTCATTTCATGCACAATGCCCCTTGCTTTGCTGTATACGGCTGTAGTGACTCTGTTCTGTTTGGTTGTGGAGAAAGAGAGTGAAGGAATGAGTGAGACTGGGATAAGAAACGATAGAGAGAGAAAGAGAGAGAGAGAGAGAGAGA